AAGATAAAAAGCTTCTTCACAGCAAAGGAAACAGTCAACAAAACAAAGAGGCAACCCACAGAATGGGAGAAGGTATTTGCAAATGACACTACAGATAAAGGGCTGGTATCCAAGATCTATAAAGAACTTCTCAAACTCAACACCCAAAAAACAAATAATCCAGTCAGAAAATGGGCAGAAGACATGAAAAGACACTTCTCTGAAGAAGACATACAAATGGCTAACAGACACATGAAAAACAGTTCATCATCATTCCATCAGGGAAATTCAAATCAAAACCACATTGAGATACCACCTTATACCAGTTAGAATGGCAAAAATGGACAGGGAAAGAAACAACAAATGTTGGAGAGGTTGTGGAGAAAGGGGAACCCTCTTACACTGTTGGTGGGAATGCAAGCTGGTACAGCCACTTTGGAAAACAGTGTGGAGGTGCCTCAAAAAATTAAAAATAGAGCTACCCTATGACCCAGCAATTGCACTCCTGGGTATTTACCCCAAAGACAAAGATGTAGTGAAAAGAAGGGCCATATGCACCCCAATGTTCATAGCAGCAATGTCTGCAATAGCCAAACTGTGGAAAGAGCCGAGATGCCCTTCAACAGATGAATGGATAAAGAAGATGTGGTCCATATATACAATGGAGTATTACTCAGCCATTAGAAAGGATGAACACCCAACTTTTACATCAACATGGATGGGGCCGGAAGAGATTATACTAAGTGAAGTAAGTCAAGCAGAGAAAGTCAATTATCATATGGTTTCACTTATTTGTGGAACATAAGGAATAGCATGGAGGACATTAGAGAAGGAAGGGAAAAATGGGGGAAATCGGAGGGAGAGATGAACCATGAGAGACTATGGACTCTGAGAAACAAACAGGATTTTAGAGGGGAGGTGGGTGGGGAGATGGGTTAGCCCAGTGATGGGTAAGGAGGGCACATACTGCATGGAGCACTGGGTGTTATACGAAAACAATGGATCATGGATCACCACATCAAAAACTAATGATGTATTGTATGGTCACTAACATAACATAATAAAATTAAACTAAAAAACAAAAAAACAAAATAAAATAAAATAAAATAAAGGACCTGAATTCATCTGCAACAGAGTGTGAAGTTCAAGCCTTAGGGCACTCGCAAAAACTGAAGAGATCTATCAAAATACCACCAACATTTTTCACAGAGCTGGAACAAAGAATACTAAAATTTGTATGGAACAAGAAAAGACCCCAAATAGCCAGAGGAATGTTGAAAAAGAAAACCAAAGCTGGTGGCATCACAATTCTGGACTTGAAGCTCTATTACAAAGCTGTAATCACGAAGACAGTATGGTACTGGGACAAAAAGAGACATATAGATCAATGGAACAGAATAGAATACCCAGAAATGGACCCTCAACTCTAAGGTCAACTAATCTTCAACAAAGCAGGAAAGAATATTTAATGGAAAAAAGACAGTCTCTTCAACAAATGTTGGGAAAATTGGACAGCCGCATGCAGAAGAATGAACCTGGACCACTTCCTAACACCACACACAAAAACAGACTCAAAATGGATGACAGACCTAAATGTGAGACAGGAATCCATCAAAATTCTAGAGAACACAGGCAGCAACCTCTTTGACTTCAGCTGCAACAACAACTTGCTAGACATGTCTCCAAAGGCAAAGAAACAAAAGCAAAAATGAACTACTGGGATTTCATCAAGATAAGAAGCTTTCACACAGCAAAGGAAACAGTCAACAAAACTAAAAGGGAACCTACAGAATGGAAGAAGATATTTGCGAAGGGCTACTATCCAAAATCTATAAAGAACTTACCAAACTCAACACCCAAAAACCAAAAAATCCAGTCAAGAAATGGGCAGAAGACATGAACAGACATTTCTCCAAAGAATACACACAAATGGTCAACAGACACATGAAAAAAATGCTCAACATCACTTGGCATCAGGGAAATCCAAATCAAAACCACAATGAGATACCATCTCACACTGGTCAGAATGGCTAAAATTAACAACTCAGGAAACAACAGATCATGGCAAGGATGCGGAGAAAGGGGAACCCTCTTAACACTGTTGGTAGGAATGCAAACTGGTGCAGCCACTCTGGAAAACAGTACGGAGGTTCCTCAAAAAGTTAAAAATAGAGCTACCTTACGACACAGCAATTGCACTCCTAGGCATTTACCCAAAGGATACAAACATAGTGATTTGAAGGGGCACCTGCACCCCAATGTTTATAGCAGCAATGTCCACAATAGCCAAACTATGGAAAGAGCCCAGATGTCCATCAACAGATGAATGGATAAAGAAGATGTGGTGTGTGTGTGTCTGTACACACACACACACACACACACACACACACACACACACAATGGAATACTACTCAGCCATCAAAAAGAATGAAATCTTGCCATTTGCAATGACGTGGATGGAACTAGAGGGTATTATGCTAAGCAAAATAAGTCAGAGAAAGACAAATACCAATGCTTTCACTCATCTGTGGAATTTCAGAAAAAAAAAAAACAACTGATGAACACGGGAAGGCAAGGAAAAATAAAGTAAGATGAAAACAGAGAGGGAGGCAAACCGTAAGAGACTCAACTCTAGAAACAAACAGGGTTGCTGGAGGGGAGGTGGGTGGGAGGATGGGGTAAGGGCATTAAGGTGATGGGCATTAAGGAGGGCACTTGAAGTAATGAGCACCGGGTGTTGTATGTAACTGATGAATCACTAAATTGTACCTCTGAAACTAATAATACAGTATATGTTAATTAAATTAAATTTAAATAAAAAATTAAGTAAATTTATACTTTATAAAAAACCAAAAAACAAAACAGTAGAGATTGTGGCAAAAAGCATTTGGAAAGAAACTGTTAAGATTCATTGAAGGTGGGGCGCCTGGGTGGCTCAGTCGTTAAGTGTCTGCCTTCGGCTCAGGTCGTGGTCCCAGGGTCCTGGGATCGAGCCCCGCATCGGGCTCCCTGCTCTGCAGGAAGCCTGCTTCTCCCTCTCCCACTCCTCCTGCTTGTGTTCCCTCTCTCACTGTGTCTCTGTCAAATAAATAAAATCTTTAAAAAAAAAAAAAAAAGATCCATTGAAGGTATAGGCTAACCTACTGGCTGGCTAGATTCCTAGAGAGAAAAAGTGAAAGAGACACCTGGGAAAAGCACTCGCAGGAACAGAAAAAAAATCTCAAACATTAACCTAAGGAGTTTTTCCTTCGGAGGAACCAGAACACATCAGTCTGTGAAGCAATTTATACCACAGGGCATTACTGAAAGCAACGGAATAATCAGCTGGCAATTAATGGAGCTTAACTGATGGTGTGGTCAGAGAAAGAGTCACAGATCATCACATATTATACGAGATACAAATATATCCTGATAATCTATAATGTGAGAGATAGTATGTGATAAATTAATAAAATCTTACAAGTCTTATCCACCAAAATTTCAGTACCAAAGGACAATGCTGACTGTCCTTAATTTGCATTGAGATAACTTTTATTTGAATGATTTCTCGGAAAATGTTACCAAGTGAAATATAAATTTCTTTTATTATGGTCTATAATGAGTCAGGTAATACTTGCTGAGGGAACTTAACCATTTTGTGATTCAAATGGCTTGTAGAACAACTGAAGTTATGTCTACAGGAATACAGATTAAAGAGTATAACCTCTGTGAACTAATACAGCGGGCCCACACACTTGTTGAACTGGCCTAGTATTTGATTAAAATGATAAATCATTTAATATGGCCAAAAGACAATCGAAGCAGACTGTCTATAATTCTGACACTTAAACCATTTATCTTTTTTATTTTTTACTTCCTAAAAATGGAAGGTATTTTAGGAGGTATAAAAATAAGAAAATTATTCAGCAAAATATGTCCAGTGGCTTTCCATCATACACAGAATAAAATACAAAAACATCTAACCCTATGTGATCTAGCCCCAGGCTACTTTCCACCATCACCTTTCACCCCTCTACCTCACCATCATGCACTTCAGACTAGCAGCCTTCTTGCTGGTCTTGGAGTACACCAGGCACCCCAGGGCAATGGTGACTCTCTTTGCCTGGAATGCCCTTCCCTTGGTTATCTTCATCCAGATCTCTGTTCAGATATTACTTCCCCAGTAAAAACTTCATGACCACTGTATTTAATAAAGCACTGTCTGTCATTGCTCTCTACCCTACTTTTTTAATACTACATATCATTCCTTGACATTGTATCTTCATTTTGTCCATCTCACCCCACTAGAATGGCTAAAGACTTGCTCTGTTCACTGATGAATCTCCAGTGCCAAAAACAGTGCCTGGCACACATGTAGGTGCTCAGTAAGTACCTGGCAAATTGATAAAAAAATGAAAACACATTTAATCCACAAATTCTGGTTGCACATTATGAATCAGACACTCTAAGCTCTAGATACCCATATGATCTACCATACTCTCTCCTCTTAAGAAACTAAGCAGGAGGTAAAAACACAAATACAAAAACAACATGTTATACTTGGATAACATACAAAGAATAATACAGAAAATTATTAGGAACAAGAGAAGTGTTATGGCCAGTCACAATGGACTAAAAACAGTCCATTGTCTTTAATAAGTAGATCACTGATGACCTTAACCAAATGTGTCCTCAGCAGGAGACTATACCCAGTTAAAAACAAGTGAGATAAGGTAAAAAGAGAACAATTTCAAGATTTTTTGAATAACTGATTTAAGACTATACCCAGTTAAAAACAAGTGAGGTAAGGTAAAAAGGTAAGGTAAAAAGAGAACAATTTCAAGATTTTTTGAATAACTGATTTAACAAGTAGCATTTTCATTCTAAAAATGTAAAAGATTAATATTAAAGAATTTGCAACTTCAAGTGCTATTAATCTTTTCATATAAATACATATATGCTTTAGTATTTTTTAGGTTATACAGCCATTAAGAGTAAATCAGCACACAGCTAAATTAAAATATGCACAAAACATTCCTTACCTGAATTTCTACAGTCATTCTTTCAATCTCATCTTGTTGGCTGTCTATTATCTAAAACACAGGAAATAGATCAGTGTGAATCAAAATTTTTTCCATTGCTTTTTAAAAGTACCAATATTTTAAGAAAACAAAAGCATAGGAAATAATGAATTTATCTTTTAAAAATCAGGGTTTGATTTTTTTTTTTTTTTTTTACAAAAGTATTCATACCAAGTATCCTTTAAATAGACATAGGATTTAGATCACACATACATAAAACTGCAAAAGTCTTCCTCTGGTTCTTGATAAAACTCTGCAATTTATAAAAATAACTTTGAAACAGACATTCAATAATTTAGGAAGGAAAAGATATCCTTTCGTTTTGCTAAAAAGTAATATAATTTCCTTAGTTTGGCTTTTACAAAAATTTAAATTATTTAAATTTACTTAAAGTGTCACTTTCTTTCCAAATAAAAAATTCAAACTAAGCTATTATTACCAAAAATATAAAATAAAATAGCTGTAACTTATAAATCTATACACACTCATCCAACATAATATAGATTTCACATTTATTATCAAAGACATGAACTGACCTTACTAGCATTCTCATTTTGTTCTCTCAGATTATCATTTTCATTCTGAAGCTGTTTTGCATCTAACATGGGAAGGCGAATTCCATCTTCAAGGCATCTTTCTACTTTTTGCTGCAAGCTGTATGTTTTAGAAAGACAATTAGATAAAAAAAATCCACTCTGTGGGCTGATTTTGGTAGATGACTTCAACATAAATGAAGTCCCTTCTTAGGGTCGACAGTATTTTTTAATCAGGCAATAATCGAGACCTACAGCCTACATGAATAACTTGAGTACCTCAATTTCATACAAGTAAGAAATATAATGGAAGCTGATCACCTTTTCAGAAATGGCAGATTTGAGATCAGAATCAAAAGTTGCTTAGTATGATATGACATCCTTAGGCCCTAATGAAGTTCCTCATGACCCTAATGTGAGCTCTGCAATCTAAATCCTGTTCTTTCCTTCTCCCCCAAAAGCAGAGTTCCTTGATTAAGATGAATGTGTCAGGGAACCCAAGAATAAGGACACATGTCTTTTATCTTCATTCTGAGCTCAACAAAAGTTTGTTCATAAGGACAGTTGTTGCTAAAACCAGTAGAATTACATTTCTTCTTCATTAGTAAGAGCAGCAATCTATTTACTACTTTACCTAACAGTTTCTCATGCTATTCATGGCACAGAGTTGCAATGCAGAAGAGGAAACAACAAAAGGAAGCCCTTCTGGTACATTATATATAAAAGATTAAAAGGTGTTAGTCTTGAGAAAGAAAGAATAGTCATGTTTTGGTTAAAAGGAACTACGCCATTAACAATAATGACCAAAATCAAAACAGAAAGACACCTAGGAATAGTTCTACTCTAGATTATAATATTCAAGAGCTGCAGACTTCCTATAGTTGGGGTTTTGTTATTTTCATTGTCTTTCTTCTTTCAAATATTATGGCTTTCCTGTGCTTTCTCTCTCTTTCAAAAAAAAAAAGTTAAAGAAATGCCATTATCTAGATTCTGGATAAAGAACTGACAATCTTAAAAAAAAAAAAAAAAAAAAAAAGAATTGGCAGTCTTAACATGGCACAATAAGGGCTTCCAATGTTAATAAATAATGGCACCAGAGAAGTTTTTTATGTATTATGAACGCAGTGTACTGCTTTGTAATGTTTTTACTTATCATAAAAGTATTTGCTTTTTCAGTCTAAAAGTGAAAAATACATCATTTCTATTTCAAGATAAGTTTTTTCCCCTCAATTCAGGGACAAGACACTACTTCTACGTATTTATAACATTCCAAGAGAAATAAATTATATTTAGGTTTTTTAAAAAATGAACCAGCTATGAGAAGGGAACAGTGTACTCTGTAATGAAAAAATACCATACAAGTCTTCTTTCACATACACATTCTCATTTATGTTACGAAGCATGCTCACTTAGAAAAGTAATCTCTTGAATACTGAAGGTATCGACTATTGATTAGGGACCCCATCCATATATTTTGCTTCCATTTTTATTTCTAATGGAAAATTTTAATCTGACTTTTAAATACCAGAAGTTCTTATATATATTCATAAAGCAATTAACTTAGAAATATTATATAGGCACAGATAAATGTAATATAATTCACAGTCACATGTACATCTGAAGTTCTTCTGGAACCAAGGAATACTTTATCATATAGCTGAGGAAGCTGAAATAACACCCCAACCTCCACAGTCAAGAGACACCAGAGCCATGTAAGTACTGAAGAATTACAGAAGACCTTCTTTGATCCTTTACATCTATTTGAATTCAAGAGAAATTTTCTGGGATGCTGTCATATCAGAGAGTATTGAGGTAAAGAAATGAATCATGGATTCTGAAATGCACTGTACTAAGTCTTTCTAATCAACATTACTAGGCTCAATGTTCTCTAAAAACCTAATGAAAGAGAAAATCTAAATAAAAAAAGAGAAAGTATAATATATTAAATATGTAAAAGCACACAATGGAGCAAAACAAACATTCAAATTATTTTCAGGTGTTTCCAATTCTGTTCATAAAATGGCACAGCTTGAGGTGTGATCAAAATGCCCCATAAAACAGAACAGATACATTACCTCTTCTCACTTCAGCTAAGATGAAAGAAAAAGAATATATGGTTGAATAAGTGGAGGTGAGGAAGCTGTTTTGAGACTAGACAATAGAATATAAGATGTGGAGTTATGGAAAGGAAATTTAAAGAATAAGAAAGCAGAAAATAAGGCAAAAATAAAAGTAAAGTTAAAAGTATATGAATTTTTTGCAGCTAAGATTAGAAACCCTGAAAGACTAAATTGTCCCAGAATCAGAGGTTTTCTGTACTGAAATCTAAGGAAAAGAGTAGACGAGGCATATATAAAACTTTCAAAGTAGTAAAGCAATATTAACGTGGAATTATCAGATGGATTTTGATTAGAATTACACACAATTGGTAAAAGCATGAAGAGTGTATTTCTTAAATTTAGTTTTGCTGCTTTATTGTCTTATTCTTCTGGATAGTTTTATCTATTAATAGTTGATTATGTATTAAGGTTTAAGTTTTATAAAACAGAGAGTACATGTAGATGCATATGTAACACAGTTCTCTAGGTTTTTCAGGAATCCAGTATTAATTTTCCAGCTTAAACACATTAGCTAAATGTACTAACAAGTGATATTCCCTGTCATTCTAACTGTATTAATTTAAAAGAGAAGAGTACCATGAGGCAAGATATGTGAGTAAACTTGGAAGGTACTTGGCAAAATGGCCATACCTGCTGCTCTGCAGTAAGTTACCGATTACTTCACTTTAATCTATCACATTAAGGAGTGCGGTTTGAGTATTTGACTGCCCTCTTTATTATCTAGAATTTGTACCTATTTTTTGGCAAAGCCATCAGACTGTGTTAATACTTTCAGTTTTCAATTGGTGGGGTTTTTTTGATGGGGGGTAGATTTTAACTATTCTCATCTAAAACCTTTGGCAAGATGTCAGGATATTGCATTAAGATGTGAAATCACAGCCGAGACAACCTGTTTCAATGACGTAATACTTACAGTTTTAAAGAGTACATCTTTAAGATAACAATATAGTAATAACTACAAATTAATGCATTTTAAGTGAAATGCTTTATGAGAAATATGAATAACAAAAGTAAGCATAAAAAATTACGAAAGGTTTTCTTACCTCTGAACTGTAGTTACCAACTCCTTTTCTTTCTTTTTCTGGCATATTAGCTGTGCCTCTTTTTCTTGACACTGTTTTTTGATCTCTTCAAGTTTTTTTTCCATATCTAGGAGAGTCTCTTGCAAATTCTTATTTTTTTCTTCTAGAACCTGAAGCTAAGAAAATTCATAACACATAGAATATTAAATGTGTTTCTACTAGAAACTGTTACAGTGTTCTCAATTAACAGGCTTGTGGTTAAAATCACACTATACTTTATCTAGAGTATTTAATAATATTTTATTTCCTCTTTTGTGTGTAATGGGAGCTAGGAGAATGAGATTATGGAGAAAAATGGGGTCAGAAATTTCTAGAAGACAGGCATGCCTGGGTGTTGCAGTCAGTTAAGCAACCAACTCTTGGTTTCAGTTTAGGTCATGATCTCAGGATCTTGGGATTGAGCCCAGCCTCAGGCTCTGCACTCAGTGTGGAGTTTGCTTAAGATTCTCTTCTCCCTCTGCCTCTCCCCCACCATGCTCGCTTTCTCACTCTCTAAAATAAATAAAATCTTAAAAAAAAAAAAAAAAAAAGGAATTTCTAGAAGACAGAGAAAGGTAAATGATCTCAATTTGGGGGTATTTTTAAAATTTTATTTTTAATTATGGTAAAATATGCATAACAAAATTTACCATCTTAACCACGTTTAAATGTACAGTTCCATAGTGTTTAAGTACATTCACACTGTTGTTCGATGAATCACCGAACTCAAAACAAACTTTATGCTCATTAACAACTCCCTTTCCAGCTCTGCCTTCAGCCTCCAGCACCACACTTTGACCTTCCGTCGCTATGAATCTGACCACTCTAGGTACTTCGTACAGTATTTATCTTTTTGTGTTTGGCTTATTTCACTTAGCACAATGTATTTAGGTTTATCCATGTTTCAGAATTTCATTCTTTTTTATATCTGAATTATATGTATGTGACATTTTATCCATTCACCCATCAGTGGAAACTTAGGTTGCCTCCACCTTTTGGCTACTGTGAATAATGTTATTATGAGCATATGTCATGTACAAACGTCTGTTTGAGACTTTGCTTTCAATTCTTTTACCCAGAAGGCAAACTGATGATAATTTTTTGAGGAAACACGGTTTTCCATAGTGGCTATACCACTTTACATTCCCACCAACAGTACACAAGGATTCTAATTTCTCCACATCGTCACCAATGCTTTTTGTTTTGTTTTGTTTTTTTATGTTGGTCAACCTAATGGGTATAAAGTAATATGAACACATGTTTTTATATCTATATATCTCTCTGTTCCTGCTCATACAAACTCCTGTGGTACTTCTTTAGTTCTTTTCTGACATTATCCTCTCTTAGTCTTATAATTTATAAATTAATATAGACAGAGAATCCATTCTAGGTCTAGAGTCTATACAACAATGACACTCCACGGATTAAACCAATGATTCTCAACTGAGAGTGATTTCTTCCGCCAGGAGATACTTGGAAATGTTTATAGACATTTTTGGTTTTGGGGAGGGAGGAGGATAGGAGCAGTGCTATTGGCATCTAGTAGGCAGAGGCCAGAAATGCTGTTAAGCATCCTTCAATGCACAGGACAGAATCCCAAATGAAAAATTATCCACCCTTGAATGTCAATAGTGCTGAGGTTGAGAATTTCATGATGAGAAAAACTGAGAAAAGACTGAAGAATAGGTTTAACAGATTTATAAATAAGATTTCAAGAAGACGGGCTTCACCAGAGTTGGTAGAAAAGACTCAAAAGACTCACCAGAGGTATTGTTAAGAAGGAAAAATGGTCAGAAGAAATCAGAGGAGTGAATGGAAACCACAGACTAAGATGTAAGAATTTATGGAAAGGTTAAGAAGAATGAAAACAAATCAAATATCTGGAAAGATGGTTAAAAAAAAAAAAGGTCTTGTTGAGCTTTGGTGGATCACAGAGAATACTGGGTAAAGTCAGAACTGTGGTGCACCCATGTGTGTATGAAATGGGGCTGTTAGACTGGTTTAGAAATTACCTTTTAGAGTAGATGTTAAGTAAAAAGTTAACACACGTTTCTTAGGAAGGTAATCATGTATTAATAAGAAAGACAAACTCATGCTTAAATAAACAAAATTCTAATTGAAGTTAATCCTCAAAACAGCAATTGAACACATAGATTTAACATAATTAGCCAAACATGTAACTAAAATTTTAAATTATAAAAATTATGAAATTTCCAAAGGATCAACTTAAGAAAGTAGTAGGTTTTCATGTTATTTAAAGATGAGCATTTTAGGTGCTCGCTTTGGCAGCACATGTACTAAGATGAGCATTTTAGTTCATGTTACCTGTAGACTCTGACTCTGTACATCATCTAGAGTTGGAAGATCAGCCAGATACTTTTCCAAGGTCTCAATTCTTCTCTGCTTTTCTTTGTTTTGTTCAGATTCCTTCTGGCATTTCTTTTTCAGGCTACTGATATATCTATCTCTGGTTTTAAGCTAAAGAAAAAGATTATGAATCTTCAGGGGCTTTGTGGCATTAAAAAAATAATAATAACAAAACCAACAGTTCTAGGATATAGTTAAGGCTACCACCAACTCAGGTAAGATTCACCTTAATTCATCAATTCTAGGATTCACATTTTTACAAATTTTTGTATCACTGAAGTCAAGAGTTTTGAAATTTGTGTTTGTCTGAGTTTACAATTGATGGCCTCCTATACACTGCAGAGGACCAGCTAGCAGTAATGATAGTTTCTATTGCCAGCACATGAGCACACTTGGTCAAAGCTATTCCCATCTCTGTCATTTCAACCGTGTGTACATGTTGCAAATATGTGCTGAGTTTAAATGATGTTTAAATTACCTTAAAAACATTACATTATAATTTGGTGTTGAAAACAGTTACTGAGTATCCAGTAAGACAAAGAAACAGAGCCACAGGGTATAATTATAAAATCAGTGAAGCAAATACTCATTTTCGGAGAGAGGACTCCAATTCCTTATTTCTTACAAAGCTACATCCAAATGTTTTATGTGACTTAAGAAAGGAAGATACCTAACAAGCAATTAAAGCTGTTTTGTTACTAACTTGCTAAGAAACTGCTTGTCATGTACTCAAGAAACACAGTCAAAGCCAGGAGAACTTACCAAAATTACCAGATACTTTGGAAGAAATAAGGGCACTAGTAAGACCAATCCATACCTCAAGCCAAGACTACTGTTAAGGTATTATGTTATGTCATAATTGAACATGCAACATATTTTCTTTCTCAAAACTACATATAATAAAGGTGTGCTGTACCACTGATGTCATTTTAGGATTGATGGAATTTGTTAATTGAACACCTACTACAGAACGCATACAGTACATGATTCTAGTAAATCCCAATTTGTGGGGGTTAAACCTCAGATCTATGCACTAATTTTTTTCACATTTCTACTTGAAAAATATTATTTTTAAATTTCGTATCATATATTCAAAGTTCTTTAATATTTCAGCTCAATTATAAATAATGTGTATACTACAAATAGATACCTAAAAAGTAAACTCCAGATTCTTATTCACCTTAACTTACCAGTCTTCCAAAATTTAGAAACTTAAAGGGTTCTAAAATATTTTTACAGCCTTTTCCCACATACACCAGGGAAAATAAGGGCCAGTAATTGGTAGTATAATGGTTTACTCTCCCAAATTTTATTAAAGCTAACACTTTGCACAAAATAGTTTCTTTCATACCTTATTGAATTTTTTTCAAGTCCAATGTACAACAAATTGTATTAAAACAACTTCAATTAGAAAAACAAACCACATCTCATTTTATCTATTCATTCTATCAATAACATTAGGATCCATTTATTACCTTGGGTAAGAAGCAACGCTGGTAAAACTGACAAATCCTATTATTTATTGGAGATTTCTCGGGATTAAAGGCTGGTGTGCTGGTGTGACAATCTGTGATCTAACAGAACTCACAGACTGTTGACCCTGATAATGACCTGCAAGACCACATAATACAATGCCCTTTTTCCCCCTTTTTCTCTTTTTTCACTGAAGTATAATTAATATACAGTGCTATTTTAGTTTCAGGTGTACAATATAATAATTCAACCATTCTATACATACATTACTCAGTACTCATCAAAATAAGTGTACTCTTGATCCCCTTTATCTTTTTACCACCACCACCCCTCGTCCCCACAGCCTCTCAGGTAACCACCAGTTTGTTCTCTGTATGAGTCTGTTTTTGGTTTCTCTCTTTTTTCTTTATTTGTTCATTTGTTTTATTTCTTAAATTCCATGTATGAGTGAAATCATATGCTATCTTTCATTATTTATTACTTATTTCATTTAGCATTATACTCCCATGTCCATCTGTGTTATTGTAAACAGCAGGATCTCATTCTTTTTTACAGCTGAGGAATATTCGGTGGTTTTTACATATACCACATCTTCTTTATCCATTCATTTATTGATAAACACTTGGGCTGCTTCCATATCTTGACTATTGTAAATAATGCTGCAATAAACACGGGAGTGCATATATCTTTTTGAATTAGGGTTTTCATTTTCTTTGGGTAAATACCCAATAGGGGAATTATTGGATCGTATGGTAATTCTATTTTTAATTTTTTAAGGAGCCTTCATACTGTTTTCCACAGTGGCTGCACCAATTTGCATTCCTACAGACAGTACACAAGGGTTTTTTTTCTCCTCACCAACACTTGTTGTTTCTTACATTTTTGATTTTATCTATTCCAACAGGTGTAAGGTGATATCTCATTATGGCTTTGATTTGAATTTCCCTGATGATTAGTGTTATTTAGCATCTTTTCATATGTCTGTTGCAAATGATATATCTAATAAAGAGTTAATATCCAAAACATACAAAGAACTTATACAACTCAACTCCAAAAAACAAGTAATATGATTACAAACTAAGCAGAGGATGTGAACACAGATTTTTCTGAAAAAGACAGTAATTCCTTTTTTGAATATGAGGTCCAGAGATCTTAAGTAACTTAGCCACAAGTCACTGAAACAGAGGTGAGATTTAGATATAAATCACTTGACTGAAAGGCCAGTGTTCTTTCAATTCTTCCACACTACACACAACCAGATTTCCATGAATTCTCTAGCAATCAGCTGTGCCTGGATTCCCCATTGACAAAGCCTGCTCCTGCCTTAGCAAATGACCCTGTAAGTTACAGAAATAACTAACCAGCCTATTTTTACTAAAGGTTCCCTAATTTATTTTTAATTTTTTAAGTGTCTTAAGTGTGACACAATGATGTCCTGGTTTTCTTCTTTTTCTTTGGCTGGTCAACTGTCTTTTTTGCTATCAGGTCAAGCTTGCTGCCTTTGACACAAATCTCTGCCAACACTCTCCAACTGGATACTATTTATGCTATTTGTTGACTATAAGTTGATCACACATAATTACTGGGTCTTGGGTTTTTTCTTTTAGCCCTCTTCATTGACGAGAAGCTCTTTGTGTGTTTTTTTTTAACTTTCAAGTTTAACACGTTGATTACTAAAATCAACTCCAGTAATTACCTCCAGGTAAATGAGGTATCACTAATAAATCTTTCCTATTTATAAAAGGTTAGGTTTTTCCTTTAGAGGAGATATTATTTAGTACTGAGATTATTCCTAGAAGGTAATAGGAGGGCTCTGTTTCCAGAAAAGGTTTACAAATGAATATATTTTTCATTTTAAATACAATTAGAACAAAATAGATTACTAAGGCAATGTTTTCCTCCAAGTTTTTTTTTTTTAAATAAATTATTATTAGAAGCAAAGCATCGACTGTAGAATTAAACGGTCTTCAATTTTACTCCTAGCTTTACAACAGTTTCTACCTACATGCAACCGGACAAATTACTCAACTCTTCTCCAAGCTTCAATTAGCTCATTTTTAAAAATGGGGGTACAGTATTTACACCTTAGGGTTTTTGTGAAGATTAGTTAATATTAAATGAGAAAATGTATCTAATGCACCTTCACATGCTGTCTGGCACATACAAGAACTTATCAAACAGTATAAATTCTATTGTTATTATCACATTAAATGTTTTTCTGTTGTAGTATCAGTCTTGATCAGGATAACAGAGAGGAAATGCAGCAGGAAACAATGCAATCCAATCTCATGTGGGCCTAACATGCTGGTCAGTTGATGCATTACCTATGACTCTATTTACTAGCATCTATACTCCCTTCAAGAATTCAAATCATCTCCCGGCCTCTGACACAAACTCTACTATCTACACCAACCTTCCTTCTTAATTTTTCTGTTCTACACATTTCCATTCTCAACTGCCTAACTCCACAGAGAGACTATTCCTCTTTTCCAAAAGTAATTCCTCCATCTTGGCATCTGTAATCAACCTTTCCCTACTTATCTCAGGAATTTGCTCTATCATACACTCCTCTGACATCTTTGATTATCTCTAATTATTCTTTCCAGAGTCTTTTGCTGGGCTTACCTCACTCTCTTTTCTTCCCTCTTGGCAAAAATGTACTTGAAAGCATTCATACATTCATTCATTCATTCATTCAGTATGCCAGGCACCATGGCTGGTGCTACATATGCTACAGTGACAAACAGATACGTCCCTGCCATCCTGGAGCTTACAGAGAAATATTAAAACATAATGATTATTCAAAATTGTGTTAAGCACTGGAAAAACAAGAAGAAAATGCTCTAAACTTATGAAGGGAGGGGTTGGAGGAGAAAGATACTTAAGATGAGACTTGACAAAATAAACAGGTGACTGAGTAGTGGGAGAAGACAGTGAAGTATTTATCAGGCCAAGAGGAAACTCTGTGTCAAGACTCTGAGACCAGAAACAAACCATGACCTGTTTAAGCAACGACAAGCACTGCACCATGACACAGTGTACTCAAGGGAGACTGACAGAGCCTAAGGTTACATATTTATGCAGGCTCTTTCTGGCCATGGGAAGAATTTGATTCTTATTTTATTTTATTTATTTATTTTTTTAAGATTTTATTTATTTGACAGAGACACAGCGAGAGAGGGAACACAAGCAGGGGGAGTGGGAGAGGGAGAAGCAGGCTTCCCGCAGAGCAGGGAGCCCGATGCGGGGCTCGATCCCAGGACCCTGGGATCACGACCTAAGCCGAAGGCAGACGCTTAACGATTGAGCCACCCAGGCGCCCCTGATTCTTATTTTAAAGACAACATCGAGATGGCATTGCTGGGTAATGTAAGTGAAATGACTGGATCTTCCTTTTAAAAAGGTCAGTCCTCCACACTATGAAGAATGGCCGGGAGAACGTGGAGCAACTGGCTCTCATACACTGATAGTGGAAGTGTTAAATGATACAAACCCTAGAACTCAGGTTTCTTTCTTTTTTTTTTCTTTTCTTTGCATCTCACAGGTACATTTATTCATACCACAAAGGAAACAGCACTTTCACAAGTGTACAGTGATGTGCCACACTCTCATCTACTAGAGCTTACTGAAATTTACAGCCAGGGTGACATTCCATCTGATGTGTACTCCAGGTAAAGCTGGTTAATGATAAGCAGGCGCAGGACTTGAAGATCTCAAAGTTTCACTTCTTTATCATCACTCTTGATTTTATAAATGATTAAGCCCATCAACATCATTCCTACCCAAATCTCTTGGTGAACTTGGGTATAGTTGGGCTTCATAGGAATCTAAGCATTTTTAATAAGGCTTTGAAGCATCTCAGCACAGGACAACTGGCTCAGGGTGCCCCAACCCACACGGCCAACCCAGAAAGGTCACTAAATGTGCAGAATTCAGAGAGTTTCTTATAAGTTAAACATTTACCCTATGAAATGTATGACTCAGAAATTCCACGCTTAGGAATTTATCCAGGAGAAATGAAAAATGTCTGGCACAAGAATGTTCACGGCAGCCTTATTCATAATTTCCCCAAAATGAAAACAATTCAAATATCCATTAACAAGAGAGTAGATACATTGTGATCTATCTATATAATGGAATGCAACTCAGCAGTAGATAGGAATACATTTAACAATGAGAATAAATCTCAAAGATATTAAGTGAAAGAAGACCAACACAAAAGAATATATATAGTATGACTCCATTTATATGAAGTCCAAAAAGCTTCAAAACTAATCTATGGTGATGGCAGTGTTTCAGAAAGAGGAAGGAGACTGGACTAGAAAGAAGACACAAGGGAACTTCTTGGATGACTGAAGTGTTTGTTTTTTTAAGTAAACTCTATGCCCATCATGGGGCTCAAACTCATGACCCTGAGATCAAGAGTCACATGTTCTACTGAATGAGCCAGCCAGGTACCCCTGGTGATTGAGATGCTTTGTGTCTTAATTTAGATAGCAGTTATACTGCTATATATTATCAGTAATACCAAACTGAACACCTAAGATTTATACATTCGACTATATATAAATTATGCTTCAATTTTTCAAAATATAATAAAAAATACATGGAATTGCAACAATAACCAAAAAAAAAAAAAAAGTGATTGGAGATAGAGGGAAAGCAGACAGACAGGGCAAGACTGGATTCAGAGACACCAATGAAGAGACTCTTATAAAAGCTTTGCCAAGATATGATAACTTAGACCAGCCTGGTAGTGTTGGACAGATTCTATTATATATTTAGGAGACAGGCTTAATCAGTGTTAGTAAGATTTCCAGCATGAACAACTGAATATACAGTAATGAACAATGAAGAAATTTTGTTTTAAGAAGAAGAGGGCACTTGGAAGGCAAATTAAGAATTATATTTTGGATGAACAGTTTGAAATGTTTTTAAGATATCCAAGTAGGAACTGTCAAATATGTAGTGAGTATATAAATTGATTAAGCACTGGACACCGAAAGTAATAAAAGAATTTATATAAAACATAAAAATATATTTTAAAAATTGTATCCACTGAATTGTCACAATTTTCTTCTTCTTTTTTTTTCCACACCCAATGTGCAGCTCGAACTCATGAACTCATGAGATCAAGAGTTGCATGTTCTACCAACTGAGCCAGCCAGGCACCCCTAGATCATCATTAGTTTTCACACAATCTTTTAAGTAACCAAATCTCAGGTGAGAAATATTTTAATCCCTACTACATCTATATAACCAATGAATATTTCCTTAGCCCCCTCCACATTATGGTATTGTATGAAGCCCCAAAAATACAGAAAAGAAACAAGAAACAGGGCGCCTGGGTGGCTCAGTTGGTTAAGCGACTGCCTTCGGCTCAGGTCATGATCCTGGAGTCCCTGAATCGAGTCCCGCATCGGGCTCCCTGCTAGGCAGGGAGCCTGCTTCTCCCTCTGACCCTCCCCCCTCTCATGTGCTCTCTCTCTCTCATTCTCTCTGTCTCAAATAAATAAAACCTTTAAAAAAAAAAAAAAAGAAAGAAACAAGAAACAGGTACTTAAGTTACTTTTAAGTCGGCCAAGATAAACTACACCATATAGCTGAGAAAGAGAAACCATGTAAAATTTTTGTCAGTTTTTGGAAGATCAAAATTTTAATTCACATTTATATATATATATAACTCACACAAAAATGTCAATTGAGTTCTCTATTAATAATTCCAAACATGCCTGCAGAAATCATGGTGACTTTTTCAAGATCACTTGAATCGAAGGTTCAGTTAATAGAATAAGCTGGGTATATCAAGAGAGAAATCTAAAACCAGTTCTGCAACTAAGTTAGCAGCTTAAGGACTACGCTTCTTTAGTAAATTAGGGCTAGCAGGTAATCTACTTGATCTTTAATGATACATAATGGAATGAGATAAAGTATGAAAATACTTTAATAAAGGCAAAAAGGTAAAATAAATATACAGATATATTACATACATATAGATATTTGGCTTTTCATTACTTGTTCTGAATCAGGGGCTGCAGCTTAAATAACATGAAGTCGTGCTTATAAAAAACAAAACAAAACACCACCCTCTTTATTTCATTTACCATTCATACCCAACATGACAAAGAAACAAGACCCAAAAAAGAAAAGAAGTTATTTGTGTCACATCTTAGTTTAGGCAACTAACTCAAAAAAGGTTTCACTATTCGTTAGCAAGATATAATACACTGTAGTCTTTTTAATCCCTCAAGAAAATCCCTAGGTTTTTGTGGACAGCACAGGGTTTCTCAAAAGTTACTACAAAACTAATCATCTCAATATAAATGTACAACCTGGTATATAACACAGACCTGAAATACAGTAGATGACAAATAATTACATGTTGAAGGAATGTTATTGACCTAATTCAACTTGATTAAAAATACCTACCTTTTCCTCCAGTTTCTTCTTCTCTTCACTAAATTGGCTTATTCTTTGTTTGAGAAACTGATTGAGCTGCAAAACCTCTTTCTCAGTAGACGCAAGCTTTTGCTCAAGTTCCTCTTGCTGGGAATGGGACATTGATTGATCGGAAAATGGAGCCTGGAGTGAACTGTTCTCATATTGTGGCTATTGGGAAAGAAAAAAAAAACAGGTTAAAAGTTTACTTGTCTTGACAAAATGGAAAGAAACTGGAAATAAGGTATAGTACAGAGGGTACATCTAGGCTTTAGCAACAGACAGACCTTGGCATGAATTCCAGCTCTCCTATTTCCTAGTTATATGCCATGATTAAATCAAGTTAATTTGCTTACCAATGCCAATTTTATCTATAAAACAGACATAATAAAGCCAACCTTGCAGTGTTTTTTGGTTTTGTTTTTTGAAGAACAGAGATAAAATATATAAAGTTCCTATCACATAAACAGAAGCTTAATAAAAAGCAACCTTTTGGTTAAAAAGTATAATTAGAGATGTAATAGTACATTAAGTTAGAAGTGAAAGTTCTAGGGAAATAAAAACTAAAAAGATTCTTCACAAGTGATCATTTCCAGCTAATATTAAACTTGGTAAGTATTAATAGAGTATTTCCCCAAACTAGAAAGTAAGATCCATGAAAGCAGGAATTTTTGTCCATCTTAGTTGCTCTTAGATCCCTATTTCCTAGAATAATCACTGGCATAAAAGAAGAGCTCAAAAAAATAACTGCTGATTGAACAAATGTATTCTTGTTTCCATAACTGAGGTTTTGTAAGGACTTCAGATAAGATTTTTCCCCTACTGTTTCCCTTGCAGCATTACAACCAGGAGAAGACAGACAGAAAATACAAATATCTCCTCAAATAAATTGGAATGTGGTAAGTGCCAAGAGATACCAATAAAGTAATGTGAAAGTAAAGAAACATTATTTTTCCACTTATTCAACAAATATTTACTAAGTACATGTTAGAAATTGTGTACTGGGATCCAACAGTTAATAAAGCTAAGTCCCACCAGTTTAATGAAGTATCACACAAAAAAAGACAATGAAAACTGTCTAAGTGCTAAGATAGTTGTACTGTAGTAGCTAAGAGAAATTTTATACAAGTGAATTTGAACTAGACCTTGAAGAACTCGTACTTCACCAAAAGGTGGAGATATAATTCAAAAATTACATAAATAGCATTTTATCATGTGCTGGGTATTTCAAAGATGACAGACTCTAGCACTGTCTTTTAAAAACTCAAGTTCTATCAGAAGTGTAAGAGAAATCCCCAGATAATTATATATAGGACACCATATAATATGGTAGTCAAAGAAAAGTCATCTTTTTTAAAGATTTTATTAGAGAGACAGAGAATGAGCGGGGGGGGTGGGGAAGAGGCAGAGGGAGAGAGAGAAGCAGACTCCCCGCCGAGCAGGGAGCCCAATGGGGGAATCGATCCCAGGACCCCGGGATCATGACCTGAGCAGAAGGCAGATGCTTACTTAACCAACTGAGCCACCCAGGCACCCCAAAAAAAGTCATCTTAAGTACAAAGTATGGGGAAGTTGGAAGAGAAATGAAGACAACACTGGGAGAATGAGGAAAAAGGCTTTACTGGGGAGGTTGCTTTTGAGATAGACTTTGAAAATAAGGATGATTCTGGCAGGAATGGAGAAAGGAAGAAAAGTATTCCGAAAGAACATTTTAAAAAGGTAAAATGGAAAATATTCAGAGAGTACCCATATCTGTTTAAAGTATAGTTTACAAGAAGGGGGATGGATAGAGGGAAAATTTAAAAATCCAAGTGGGACCATACTATAGAATCACAAGGTTCAGAGTTAAATCTTAATTCATAGGAAATGGGAAACCTGTGATGGTTTTATAACAACAAAATAGCATGATTTAAGAAGATTGTAAACTCTGCTTTGTAAATCTCTGTATTCCCTGGCATTTAGCCTCATGTGTAGATTCTCAGTAACTTTTAATTGAAGGAAAAAGAAGAGTCCAAAGAGGACAAGAGAGTGCTACAATAACTGGACGCAGTGGACAACAGAAATTAGAAGATATTAAGAATGGATATGAATTCACTTAAAAAAATTATTCTAGGGCCTCCTGGGTGGCTCAGTCAGTTAAGCGTCCGGCTTTTGGTTTCAGCTCAGGTCATGATCTCATGGTTTTAAGATCAAGCCCTGTGTCAGGCTCCACGCTCAGCACAGAGTCTGCTTGAAGATTCTCCCCCTCTGCCCTTCCCCCACAGAGGCACACATGCATGCACTCTTTCTCTAAAATAAATAAATCTTTAAAAAAATTATTCTAACCTATTTAGCTAAACAAAAAGAGGAGCTGAACAAGAGTACAGCTAACAGAATGAAGAAAGTCTAGATGTAGGATTGAGAGGATTTAGCAAAAACTATTTTTTAAAGAAGTGAATAGACAAGAAATGTTAGGTAACCAAGGTTTGAGATTTTGAGTCAAATAACAGGGAAGATCATATTCTAACCTGAAGTTAGGAGGTCATATAGGAGAACAGGTCTAAGCAGATGTACTTAATTACAATTAGAGCCTATTGATATTAAGATGCCAGTTGAACACACAAAAAGAGATGAAACATCAGACAGAGAGGTGGGTCTAGAACTCAGAAAGATGGGTAGGCTAGGCTAAGAAAGTAAAAAAAATAATACAGACTTATAGTTTCTAATTTGGCATGTAATGAGCTCAGAAATTTCCACTCCATCTGTTTTACTAAGTAAAAAAGATGAACAAACTGAAAATCAACAACTCTTCTTAGATCTGTCAGAAGTAAGGTCACAGGGTAAACTGCTACCCCTAGAATTGGAAAAACAGGTGAATAGAATCATTTCAGCTCTCTGTATCTACTGAAAAAAAGTTCGTCCTATATTTATGATATCCATGTAGTATACGGTTTTCCTTGTATTCTCTTTTATTAATTGACCTTATTTTTTTTTTTAAAGATTTTATTTATTTATTTGACAGAGAGAGACACAGTGAGAGCAGGAACACAGCATGGGGAGTGGTAGAGGGAGAAGCAGGCTTCCCGCGGAGCAGGGAGCCCGATGTGGGACTCGATCCCAGGACCCCGGGACCATGACCTGAGCCGAAGGCAGACGCTTAACGACTGAGCCACCCAGGCGCCCTGCCCTTATTTTTTGAAGTCTAACTTCTCAACAATATTTTAACTCCCCACATAATTTAAAAATCCTTCAGCAGCCCCCTTTTCCACATCCCTCCAGCTAGCTCTATTTGTCCTTACAGACTGATTTGGAGAGCCCTCTACTGGCCTGATGCTGTGTCAAAAAAACATTTTCTTCAGCTTTCAAATACATATTAAGAATCACACGCTTTTGGTAATATAATAATTGTATAATTCAAGCTAACCTATTATTCAGAAAAATAAAGTTACAAGGAGAAACTGCATGGTTCTATAAAACTGTTATCAAAGCAAATTATACTACTTACATAGTACAGAAATAGCACTTCTAAATAACTGTACACTATTAATCTCAGTACCATAAAGCCTTACTATTGTGGCATAGAACTAACAGATGAGATCACATTGTAATGAGATATTCTGATGTATTAGTAACTGAAGTATGGTAAGCAAGCTGGAATCTCTGTTAAATGCTTCTGCCTCAAGTAAGTCTGAAGATTAGTTGGTCTTCAATATTTCCTGACTTTAATATACCAATTCCTTTATTTTTTTTTTAAAGATTTTATTTATTTATTCATGACAGACAGAGAGAAACAGAGGGAGAAGCAGGCTCCCAAGGAGCGGGAAGCCCGATGCGGGACTCGATCCCAGGACCCTGGGATCATGACCTGAGCCGAAGGCAGACGCTCAACCATCTGAGCCACCCAGGCGCCCCCAATTCCTTTAATATATAAAAATAAGTTTGAAAATATAATGGAGGAAAAAAAAATTCAACTTAAAATGATTTTTTTTAATTCCAGAAATAAAGACAAAAAAAACTTTCACAAATCAAAGTATATACCACCATAAAGTTATTAGTCCTCACTTTTGATCCCAATAAACTGCCAATAGTTTTTAATGTTTTTGAAATAAACAAGCCAAATATTAAGTCTATATAGAAAAACATACAATCAAGTTTTAAGAAAAATTCTTAAAGAGAGTAATATTGGGGAAAGTCACCCTTCGAGCCATATAAATTTTGTTATAAGGCCTTATATACCAGTGTGCCCATTAGACCGTGTTCCCATTAGACTGTACTCTCAGTGGCAAAACCTACCTCATTCACATTTCTAATCCTTGTACCCAGACATTGCCTTACCCACAGTGAACACAAATTTTGAAGGAATGGGTAAATATGTTTACCTATATGGTCTCTCCCTCTGTAGTCTGAGGTTGATGAAGGTAGGAACTATTCTTCAACTTTGTGACCTCATAACTTGACTTAACACATTGTATGTTTAGTAACTATTCTCTTAAATGGGTTCATTAGTGAAGATAGGACTTATTTATAAAATACTCATTAGAAGTAGAGAGACTTCACAGTAGAAAATAATGGATATAGGAAAAAACAGAATGACACAAATAGAAAGAAAATATTATGACAAATTCAGAAAATGTATTTTCAAATCAAATTATAGACAAAAAGCTAATTTCTTTTATATGTAAAGGGCTTATAAAATTAATAAGCAAAAAACCAATACCTAACAGAAAAAAACAAGTGAAGTATCGATATGAAATGACATTTCACAGAAAAGAAATACAAATGGGACTTAAAAATATAAAAAGAAATTCAACATCACTCAGGAGAAATACATATTAAAACCATATGAAGAAAATAAGAAAGATCTCAAATCAACAACCTAACTTTACAACCTAGGGCTGGAAGGAGAGAATAAACTAAACCCAAAACTATCAGAAGGAATGAAATAATAAAGATTCAAACAGTGATAAATGAAATAGAGAATATAAAAACAACAGAGAAAATTAATGAAACCAAAATTTGGTTCTCTGAAAAAATCAACAAAATTGATAAACCTTTACCTAGATGGACTAAGGGGAAAGACCCTAATTACTAAAATCAGAAATGAAAATAATGACATGAACTATCAATTCTACAGACATAAAAAGGCTTATAAGAGTACTGTGAACAATTAACTGTATGCCAACAAATTGGATAAACCAGATGCAATGGACAAATTCCTAAAAACATAAAGCCTTCTTTCAAGACCTGATGGCTTCACTGGTGAATTCTACCAAACATGTAAAAAAAGAACTAACACCAATCCCTTTCAAACTTTTCCAAACACTGAAAGAGAAGAAACTACACTTCCTAAGTCATTCTGTGAAGCCAGCATTATTTTGATACCAAAGCCAGACAAAGACACTACAAGAAAACTACAGACCAATATCTTTGATGCAAAAATCCTCAACACGGTATCAACAAACTGAATTCAGCAGTATATTAAAAGGATTATAATCTATGACCAAGTAGGATTTATTCCTGGAATGCAAGTATGGTTCAGCATATCAAAACTGATCAATGTAATATACCACATTAACAGAATAAAGCAAAAAAACCCCCACAATCATCTCAACTGATATTGAAAAAGTGTATGACAAAATTCAACATCTTTCGGTGATTAAAACACAAAAAAACTAGGAACAAAAGGAAACTACCTCAACATAATAAAAGCTATATAGAAAAAACCCACAGCAAATATTATACTCAATGGTGAAAGACTGAAAGCTTTTCCTCTAAGATCAGGAACTAGTCAAGGATTCCCATTTTCACCACTTCTATTTAACAAAATACTGGAAGTTATAGCCAGAGCAATTAGGCAAGGAAAAGAAATACAAGACATCTAAATTGGAAAGGAAGACATGAAATCATTTCTGTTCAGGTGATATAATCTTGTATGTAGAAAATCTTAAAAATTCCACAAAAAGCCTGTTAGAGCTATTGCATAAATTCAATAAACTATTAGGATACAAAGTCAACACACAAAAGTTTATTGCATTTCTATGCACTAACAATGAACAATCTGAAAAGGAAATTATGAAAACAATCCTATTTACAACAGTATCAAAAAGAATAAAATACTTAGGAATTAACCAAGGAGGTAAAAGACTTGTATAACAAAAAACTACAAAATACTGCTGAAAGAAAGTGAAGACATAAATAAATGGAAACACATCCCACGTTCTTAATATTGTTAAGATGTTAATACTACTCAAAGTGATCTACAGGTTCAATGCAATCCCTATCAAAATCACTTTTTTTTTTTTTTTAAGAAAGAGAAAAACCCACCCTAAAATTCATATAGAATCTCAAGGGACCACAAACAGCTTAAACAATCTTAAAAAGAAGAACAAACCCGGGGAACTCATACTTCTGGATTTCAAAACAGTGTGGTACTGGATAACAAAAGACATATATAAACCAATGGAATGGAATCCAGAGCCAAGAAATAAATCCTGGCATACATGGTCAAATGATTTTTAACAAGGTGCCAAAACCATTCAATGTGGAAGTCTTTTCAACAAATAGTGCTGGGAAAACAGGATTATGCACACGCAAAAGAATGGAGCTGCACCCTTACCTAATAACATATAGAAAAATTAACTAAAAATGATCAAAGACCTAAACATAAGACCTAAAACTATAAAACTCCTCGAAGAAAACATGTGGCAAAAACTTCATGACATTGAATTTGGCAATGAGTTCTTGGATATGACACCAAAGGCACAGGCAATAAAAGAAAAATTAAACAAACTGGACTTGAAAAATTAAAAATTTTATGCATGAAAAGACACTACTAACAGAGAAAATAGCCAATCAATAGAATGGGAAAAAATACTCGCAAATCATATATTTGATAAGGGGTTCATATCTAGAATATACAGAGAATTTTTAAAACTCAACAACAAAAAACAACCAATTCAAAAATGGACAAAGGACTTGAAAAGATATTTTTCCTAAGATATACAAATAGCCAATAAGCCATAAAAAGATGCTCACATCATTAATCATTAAGGAAATGCAAACCAAAACTACAATGAAATACTACCTCATATCTATTGGGATGGCTACTATCAAAAATGAAAAAATAACAAGTGTTGGTGACAATGTGGAGAAACTAGAACCCTTGTACACCAAAATAGCACAGCCACTGTGGAAAACAGTATGGTGCTTCCTCAAAAAATTAAAAGTAGAATTACTATATGATCCAGCAATTCCACTTCTGGATATATACTCAAAAAAATTGAAAGCAGGGTCTGCAACAGATATTTATACACCTATATTCAAATAAATATAAAAAAGGTTCACAGCAGCATTATTCACTATAGCTAATATGTGGAAGCAAATGGGGCACCTGGGTGGCTCAGTCAGTTAAGCATCTGCCTTCAGCTCGGGTCATGATCTCCGGGTCCTGGGATCGGCCCCTGCATTGGGCTCCCCACTCAGAGGGGAGGTCTGCTTTTCCCTCTCCCTCTGTCCTTCCCCCCTGCTCGTGCTCTCTCTCTCAAATAAATAAATAAAATCTTTAAAAAAAAATGTGTAAGCAAACAAAGTGTCTGTCAACAGATGAATGGACAAAACAAAATGTGGTATACACACATAATGGAATATTATTCAGCCTTAAAAAGAGAGGAAATTCTGACACACGCTACGGCATGGATGAACCTTGAGGAAACTATGCTAAGTGAAATAGGCCAGTCACAAAAAGACAAATACTGTATGATTTATTTAACATGAGATTTTAGAGTAATCAAAAGCATAGAGAATGAAAGTAGAACAGTAGCTGCGAGGGGTTGGGAAGGCGAATGGGGTGTTACTGTTTAATGGGTACAAAGTTTTAGTTTTATAAGACATAAAGAGGTATGGAAATGGATGGTGGTGATGGTTGCACAATATTATAAATGTATTCGACACCACTGAACTGTATACTTAAAAATGGTTAAGATGAAAAAAAATGGTTAAGATAGTAGATTTTATATGTATTTTACACAATTTTAAGTTTTTTTAAAAATCATGGAGAACTCCCCACCTTACCCTGTATAAGAGAAGGGCAAAAATCTCAGTTTGATAACACAATAGCAATTTGATAATATCAATAAAAATGACCAACTCATACAACACCTGCAAATTTCACTTGAGAATTTAACTTACAAAAATACTTGCATACGAGCAAAACAGTGTTTATAAAAGGTTATTCTTCACAATATTATTTATAGTAGCCCTAAACTAGAAACAACCCAAATTCAGACTAGTAGGGACAAGATGAATAAATTATGCTATTGCCACAAAACAGGAAATCAATCAGCTATAAAAGCAAAAGGGATGCTATCTTTGTAAAGATATAGAAATAATCACTGTATTTGTTTAACTGAAGTATAGTTGACACACATTACGTTAGTTTCAGGGGTACAAGACTGTGATTCAACAAGTCTGTATGTTATGCTGTGCTCACCACAAGTGTAGCTGCCATCTGTCATACAACACTATTACAGTGCCACTGACTGCATTCCCTATCCTGTACCTTTCATCTCCATGACTTATTCACTCCATAATAGGAAGCCTGTACTTCCCACTCCCCTTCACCTATTCTGCCCATTCCCCCAGGCAACCATCAGTTTGTTCTCTGTATTTGAGTCTGTTTCTGCTTTTTTAATCACTATATTTTAAATAATTTTATGTAATACAAAGGGAAAAAAGCAAGGTGCTGGATAATGTATATATTTTGATACTCTTTGTGAAGATATGGGGATAAAATACATTTATATCTGCTAGTGATATACATCAATTCTGGAAGGATACACTAGAAACTGATAACAGTAATTCCTTATGTGTGTGGAGAGGGGATATGAACTGGACATTTGGAAAACAGTTCTTGGACATCTTTTACTATGTATATAAATATGAACCATGTGAATGGATTAATTAAAAAGCATCCTAATCTTGCAAGCTAATTATATAATTAACACATGCTTTATTAATAAAACAACTACTACAAAATTCTCTATATCTTACCTGCAAACCAGCCACATAAGAATCTTCGCAGTTTACATAATGTCCTAACATGGCATGTTGTGCCCGTAATTCATTATCCCTTATCCTCTCATGTAGGTGGGTAATTTGTTGCTTCTGCCTGCAAAACATAAATTGAGGTGACATTATAAAGAATATGCTTTTCTAAGGGACTGTTAAAAGCAGAATTTTAAGTATTCTAAAAATCTGATGTAAGAGTTAAAAGTATTATCAACCTTAACATTCATAACAGGGAATTTTTAAAAACCACAGTACAATGAGTTATGTGGACCACAGAAAAAGTTTATAGTGTAGAATACTTCTGACATTTTATAAAATATAATCGTTAGTAGAATACTCTTCTTAGATAGTAACAAAGTCATGTTTTGTTTGCTTTCTTCTTGTTACCTAATATAATAAATGTTATGTCCTCAGTTTGGAATGCCTTTACCTTAACATCCATTATTTTCATTCATACAAATTCTGCTTAACACTTAAATACCCACTGACATTTCTGAGAATCTCACTGTCAGGGATGAAAGGTATTTTCATAAATATAATCTAGCCCAAATGCTATTATTCTATGCCTGCATCTTCTCAACAACATCCTAGAGGTTACACCGTCTACACATAACCATCACCAATGATGGAGAACTCACTTGGTGACAGATTTAGATCTTTGGATAGCTCAGACATTTCACTTTAACATAACTTCATGTTGGAAACAGACACCATGAAGTTCAAATCTTTCCTCAGCAGCTCAGTGCTTACTTTAATCCAGTTATTGAACTTCTGTGTTTATGTATCCTTTATATAGTTGACACTTGAACAATGTGGGGGTTACAGGTACTGACCCCTGACCCCCTGCCCTGCCACACAGTTGAAAATCTGCCTATATTTGACTCCCCAAATTTAACTACTAATAACCTACTGCTGACTGGAAGCCTTACCAATAATGTAAACAGTTGATTAACATTTTTGTACACTTTATGTATTATATACTGTATTCTTACAATAAAGCTAGAGAAAATGTTATTAAGAAAATCATAAGGAACAGAAAATACATTTATAGTTCCGCATTTTTTGGAAAAAATCCCCATATAAGTGGACCCATGTAGTTCAAACCTGTGTTGTTCAGGGTCAACTGTATATGAAAACTGCTACGTACCATGCATCAGGTTAAGAGCTTTATATGTATTATTGCTAATCTTCAAAATTTTAATAACAAGTCTCATAATAAGGTTATGAGGAAGAAAGAGCTTTTAAGAAAAAGTATGTGGGTAAACAAATAGCTTGGTATTTTCCAAAATTACTTACAAAGTAACTTTTGGAGCACGTTAGGTTATATGTTTCAGACTGTATCAGAGAGCTTACTCTACTCAGAGCCATTTAATTTTTTAGATACACTATCCTTTAAGAAAATTCACATAGAAAACATCAAATAGTTAATAAATTAGGAGAGATTAGTCATGACATTTTTCAAATTAAAAGCTTTACAAAGAAAACTAAACTACTTCTTCTGGCCAAGATGTAGTAACAGAAACCAGTTGTGCCCTTCTGGCTGACACAATTACAAAACAGAACAAAATATAGGAAGCAATGACTCCCAAAACACTGGACATCAGTTAATTAGGACCAGAGCCTTCTGGGAGATGGGCAAAAAAAGAGATGAGCTCTATGACTGCCAGGCCCTACTGCTTTAGGACCCACCCAACACAGGTCAAGAGCCCTGTCCAAGCTGAAGAGACAAAGCTGGGATACTGGAAAAACCATTACATCAAAAACTAATGATGTAATGTATGTTGATTAGCATAACATAATAAAATTAAAAAAAACAAAAAACAAAAAACAAGACAACTAGAGTTCACAGTGCAAAGTCACCCTGACGATTCAGCTGAGTACTAATGAATAAACACAGGAGGAAACTACTTAAAGTGCATATGTGCGGGGTGGTGGTCAACCAAAAAGATTAGAAGGAACAGCGCCTGAGGCTTACTTACATGGGGCCTAGAATTGTGCCTGTTTTCAAATGCCATAGTGGAAAACTTCCTAATTCACAGGGCATCATTTAGCAGTAATTTTCAACAAAGGGCAATTGTGACTGCAGAACAAAGTTCAGGAATACAAAAATATGTGACATCCAAAAAAAGGTAAAATTCATAATGTCTAGTACTTGATCAAAAATTACCAGGCATGCAAAAAAGCAGGAAAATCTAACATAAGAAGAAAAAACCAGTCAACTGAAAGTGAACCAGAACTGGCACAGACAATAGAATCAATAAACAAAGACTCTAAATTGGTTATTATAACTGTTTTCATATGTTCAAAAAACTAGATCGATTATGTTAAGTAAAGACATGGAAAACATAAATATTATCCTGAACGGGATTAAAAGCAGTTTAGAATTTGCAGGAGATTAGTGAATTCGAAGACATAGCAATAAAAACTATCCAAAAAGAAAGAGAGAAAAAAAGGCAAATGAAAAAAACTCAAGCACATCAGTGAGCTGTGGGATTTCTTTGAGACTGAACATACATGTAATTAGAATCCCTAAAGTGGGGAGGGAGGGATAAATATTTTGTAGAAAACTGGCCAATATGTTTCCAAACTTGATGAGAACTATATACCCACAGATCTAAGAAGACCAGAGTACCCCAAAGACAAGTAACATGAAGAAAACTAAACCAAGGAACATCTTAATCAAATGGCTTAACATCGGTGATAAAGAGAAAATCCTAAAAGTAGTCAGAGAACAAAAGATAAACTCATTCAGAGAGAAAAAGGTAAACAAAATAGCAGATGTGTCATCTGAAATAATGCAAACAAGACAGTACTTTAAAGTATTACATTAAAGTATTAAAATTTAAAAGCTATCAATCTAGCGAATTTTTTTACCCAAGGTAAATTTAAAGCAAAATAATAACTATCAACCTAGATCCTTCACCTAATGAAAATATCAAGGACAGAGGTGAAACAGGCTTTTTTGAAAACTTGAAAGCTGAAAGAATCTATCACAGCACACTTCAACTACAAAAAATGATAAAGGAACACCTCCAGGCAAAAGGAAAATACCAAATGAAAACCTGGATCTACACAAAAGAAAGAAGAGCACCAAAAATGATAACTACATGGACAAATACGTTACTGTTCTTATTATTTAAATCTCTTTAAAAGATAATAGACTGTGTAAAGCAAACAAACACACCAACAAAGCCACAATGTACTGTGGGGTTTATATAGTCTTTGTAGAAGTAAAATGTATGACAAAATAGCTCACAGATTGGGAGAGGAAAACTGGAAGTATATTTTCATAAGATTATTATTATTTTTTTTTTTCTGGAATGTATTCTTGACTTGCTCCACATTTCGTAAGATTCTTATGTTGTACATGAAGCAGTACAGTAATACAGTACTGCCTAAGGGTAGACTACTGCACTTTAAAGATGTGTATTATAAACTCTACAGTAACCACTATAATAACTCAATAAAGAGTTATAGTTAATTAAGCCAACAAAGGACATAAAGGGAATTATTCAAAAAAGTACTCAACTAACTCAAGAGAAAAAAAGGGGGAACAAAACAGATGGGACAATTAGAAAACAAACAGCAAGATGGGAGATTTAAACTTGAACATATCAATAATCACAAAATGTAAATGGTCTAAATAACTCCAATTAAAAAGCAGACACTGTCAGAATGGATAAAAAGAAAGATTCAACTATATGCTACCTACAAAAACAAAACAAAACAAAAACCACTTTAAATATAATGACACAGTTCTGCAAACCTTACTCCTAAAACCAGTTAGATCTAGAAGACTTATAATTGCTGATTATTTTCTTTTTTTAAGTGAAGTATAGTTGACATATTAGTTTCAGGTGTGTAACAATGACTGCATATAACATACTGATGTGTATATGTTGTGAAATGATCTCCTTAATAAGCCTAGTTAATATCATCTTATTACATTTCTTGAACATTATTGGTTTATGCAAGTTTTCCATTTCTTTTTGAGTCAATTTTGCTATTCCTTTAAAATTATTCATTTTCTTTTATGTGTTCAGATTTATTGATATGTTTCTAACAATAATTTAAAACCTCTCTCTATATCACTTTTTATTCCTAAAATTTTGAGTCTTTCTCTTTTTCCCTGATTAGTAGAACTAGAGATTTATCCATTTGATTAATTTCTGCCCTTAGTTTTATTATTTCCTTTGTTCTCTTTTATGTTTACTATTCTTTTACTGGCCTTCTTAGGTTAAACATTTAAATCACTGTCTTTCCTCCTTTCCTTCCTTCCTCTTCCCTACTTTTCTTAATAAAAGAAGAAAAAGACATGAGAAATGGTGATAGAGTCGAACGTATTATATTTGCAGTTCTAGTAGAAACAGAAAGAAATACAATATTAGAAGAGATAAAGACCAAGAATTTTCCAAAACTGATGAAAAACATCAAACTGCAATCAAGAAGTACTTCAATCCCCAAGAATACCAAATATGATGAAAATCACACCTAGGCCCATTATAGTAAAACTGCTGAGAACAAATGGAAAAAATGACCAAATCCAAAAAATAATAGAGTGCATTCAATCTGGCAGCAATAAGACTTGTGGATGACTTCTTAAGAGAAACCAGAGACAATGGAATAATATCTTCAGAGTGCTGAAAGAAAATAGCTACCAATCAGAAAGTATGTATCAACCAAAAATATCTTTTACAAACAAAGGTGATATTCACAGTAGACAAGAGATGGAAACAACCTAAATGTCCATCTACCAATGAATGGATAAAGAAAAATATCATATATACATACAATGGACTATTACTCAGTTTAAAAAAACAGAAGAAAATTCTGTCATAGGCTACAACATGGATGAACATTTAAGACATTACACTAGGTGCAATAAGCAGTCATAAAGGGACAAACATTGCATGATTCCACTTTTATGAGGATTTAATGGGGTTTAGGACATGCCACCCCCAAATATGGCACCTTGGCATACTGAGTGTTTTAAGCCACAGGAGTTTAAGAAAATGGCAAAAGCAGAAAGGTCACTGTGACCTCCTCCTCACCCTTGCCCTTCTTCCATAAACAGATCACAAAAATCTCAAGCGGAGGGTG